AAACCATTTACATTATCAAATATTTTTTGACTTTATTTTGTAAAAAAAATTCATACATAAATTATTTGAAAATGTTATGATTTTATAATAATTTTAAATCACTTTTTTTAATATATGTCAAACTTAAATATTTTTATCTTTTAGGGATGTTTTGGCTAAGATATACCCAGTAATTTATTCTGGTCTCATTTCAGGTCCGCCACAATTTCGCGACAAAAGTCAACTGAACGAGTGGATAGCGCGCCCCTCACAAGCTACGGCCGAATTCAAATGTATGGTATGTGGGAATCCGGAGCCAAAAGTCACATGGTTTGCTAAAGGACAAGGCATTAATGCCAGCATCAGTGGGAAGGTTTGTACAAAACTCTTACTTTACCTGATAAAGAACACAGAAAAAGTTGATGATAAAAGTACAATTCACAGAGACAGTTTCCCTTCTCCCACTTAAAAAAATGTCCTTTAATTGTTACTGATACAGACAATAAAAGGTAGTCTGTAACATTTTGGATATTATTTTTATTTGCCAATTAAAGTTTCCACAAATTAACATGTCAGGGATAAAAAGAGAAGCAGATGCAAGATCTGAAATTATGAAAGTGCCCCTCTAATCAATTATAAATTTACAGTCCTTTATGTGAAGAGCCCAACATGGCCCACTAAATGATTCTGTGATGCCCATTACTTCTGTCATTAGCAGTGAAAATAAAAGCTTGATAGCACCTGGTTAACATCACCGCTGTTAATCCTCCCCAAACGGAGGGGGGATTATCCCCTTCCCAGGGTGCACTTGTTACCTCATAATTAATTTATTTTGTTGCTTCTTTGCACTGCTGGGTCCAAAAAAAACTTTCCCAGAAAAAGAATCCCCCCCAAAAAAGTAGTGAATGTTTCAGGCTTTGTGAGCATCAGGCTGATTTATCCCTGGCTCGGGGAAAAACTCTGGAGGATGATCAGTCAAGGATATAGAAATTAGCTAATTTTATGAAATTGAACGATGGCAGTGGTGTGAATCGAATCATGGCCAGAAAGGCTTGTTGATATGAAAAATCTGTCAAAATTAAGGCCTGTTAGAGGAGTGCTCTTTATAATCTCAGGGGAATCGAGAGCCAGCGGTACCAGATGTGAAATTTTATTATATTTTGATGATTTATCAGAGGGGGAAAACACACTCAAAATTTTACATAAGTAACGAAGTGTTATTATGCAAGTTCAAGAAAAGAAAAAAAAAATATCTTGAAACTTTAAAACGAGGAAAATGTTAGATAAAAAGTCCTAGATTTGGTGTTCAAATTAAAGCTCGTTTTAGGAGTGTGTGCTACATGTATTCTGATATCTGAGCATGAAACCAGGAAATGATGGTTAAGGATGGGTCTTGGTTAGAATTTTTATATTTGTGTATTTACACTTTCCCAATGGCTGGAAGATGAAAGACATTCAAATCATGGTCACCTATTTCCCCTCCTTAAATCTTAAGCCTGATTTTCATTATAAAGCTGGAAAACGTAAACAATTCATGCTCCATGAAGAATAAAAGTTAAGAGCCATTCCTTTGCAAGATTGGCATGAATTATTAACTGAAGTACTAGAATTATGCACTTTTAATGGTAATTTTTGTTTTACCTGGAGCTTAAAGAAAACATGACATTTCCTAAATGTTAGATTAATTATTATTTTGTTGTTTTTCAGTACAAAGTTAGAAGAAAGACCACATTGGTAGTGGATGCTGTCTCCAAAAAAGATGAAGGGTTATACATGTGTGTTGTGGAGAATGAACATGGCTCCGTCAATCACACCTATGAACTCAAGGTCATAGGTAGGTAACACCCCCACCCCCACCCCCACCCCTCAATCTGTCCCCCCTCCCCTTCCACCCAGTGCAGATTATTCTGATGTCATAATGTTTCCGACATGTTGAAGGAAAAGTTGGCCACTGACATGTCTGTTATGCTTTGCCTCTAATTTCAAGCAATTATAACCATCTCAACTGGGTGTGATTCATCTTAGTTTGCATCAGCTCTATAATAACAAGATATACTTAAAATCAGACAAAAGATATTTATAGATGTAAGCCTAGGCAAAAGCATATGTGAGATCAATGCTTGGACCAGAGTGCTTAACAATGATTAATGTGGGATTTTGAAAAACTACTGGTGTGTGTGGTATATAAGCCTAATAGCGATGTCAAAATATCTAATAAAACTAGGGGAAGAAATAAGATAAGAATTAAATAAACATGTATTCAATAGACAGGCGATATCGTTGGAGATAATTTCTGGTGAGGCATATTACTGAGAAAGATGTGGTTATAGAGAGAGAGGTTGCTCCTTGCTGATACTTTGGGAGGTGCTAAATGCTTTGTCGGGATGAAGTTTTTGGCAGATTTCTGTAACATATTGTTACATTTACAACCAGCATCAAACAAACAAGTCTGACAGCTTATAATTTCTTATTTGCTAAGTGTCTTATTCTTGTCCTCAGCAAACAAAGGGAAAAGAAAAGATGGAGTAATTGTTAAGTAGCTGTGATAATTGTTGAATGACGCAGTCTTTGTTTTCTGAACAAAAGAAAATTATTTCAAGACAAACATGACATATGGATCACTATAATTTTCAAACCTAGGTCTTGAAAACCAAAAATGATAAACACTAGAATGAATAAATTTTTCTCCCCCCAAAAATTGGAATAAAGAAGTTTTTCTCAAAAAGTTATGTAATGGAAAAGTACTTAAAGTCTTTATACCCATTTTCAAAATGGGTCTTTTTGCCTTGATTTTATTTGAATTAATAACTGTATAATTGTAGACCGGGTGCTGACAAAGCCTGTGATACAGGGGCCACTGAACCAGACGGTGACCTACCTAGACGATGTGAAATTTCAGTGTAAGGTGGTGATGAGTGACCTTCAGCCCCACATCCAATGGCTGAAACATTACCAGGTCAACGGCTCCTTCACCAACGAGGACGAAGAGCCGTACGTCCATGTCATACAGGTATTATCTCTTATAAATCTTTAAAAATTCAATTTTTAAATCTTTTTTTCTGGTAAATTTTATATTTTTTAAAGCACTTAACTTTTTCTTCTTAATGCACAAACCACATGTCTTTTTATGGCAATAAATGTGTGACTCACTTCTTATCTATTTAGAGGTACACAAGAAAAAACAAAGATCAAAAATTTTTCATGTCTCCTTGTATGACAAACTGTAAACTTTGTTGTTCATGTTTATCCTTTAAGAATTTACAACAGGGCAAGAAGGTAACGTATGAGATGTCTTGCATCTCTCTCTGGTCATGCCCCCATTAGAATATAACAGCAGTGCTATGTTGATGTGTTTATCAAAGTCCACTTTCAGTTTACAAATAACAGAAACTCCAGATGAATCCAGCATGGTTTTAATGTGTCCTCTCCTCGGAAAACTTATAAGCATGGAATCCACTCTGTAAATAAATGATTATTATAATTACACAGAAACTGGCAGACTGCTGTCAGCTTTTCTTGTACACTATTAAGAGCCTGATAGAAAGAGAAGTTCCTGTCTTAAAACCAAGAATTGAGAGGGGACAGGGGGTGGGGAAGGGTTTTATGTCCAACTAAAAGCATGAAATCAGATTTTAGTTTGGGCACGTAAAATGAACCAGAAAAAGGGGATGGGGTGGGTGGAGTAGGGGGTTATCAATTTTGTAAAATGAAAGGCATGTCTCCTGAAGTGAAAACCAATTTGTGAAGACAGTGTGCATGGTCGTGTTGTCATTGTATGCCATATAAGTAATGTTCAGTGTTCTAGTAGATGTATATAATGAAGTAGATAGTTTATCAGACGTGTGTCTTCATTGTCTGTTTTTACAGCAAGAACTGTGTGTATATTCCTCTTGATAATGAAGATTTTCTTTAGAAAAAAAAAGCCGAAATATGGCTATAATATTGCAGACTCAGCTTAAAACAACAATAATCAATCTTTAGAAAAAGTCCAAAATTCATCAAATTGATCTTTTTTATTAGTTGGGTAATGATTAGACTTGATAATTTATACTTCCTTTCTTATTTTAGCAATCCTCCTTCAACCTCACCCATCCAGAGATTTTGTACATCAGAAACGTAACATACGAGGATGCGGGCTGGTACACTTGCTTGGTGACCAACTCCATGGGGCGAGCCTACCAAAGTGCATGGCTGACCGTTGAAGGTGATTATTTGTTCTTCTGTCTATCTTAACAGAACAGGCAACATAGAGAAAATAGACACAATATACCTGGAAGAGCTTCATATATATGTAAAAGCTATCAAAGGAATGTTAACTTTTGTAATTTTTGAATTGTTAAAAATTCGATTTATATTTTTAAAAAAGTATTTTAAAAACAAATGTATGTTGTCTGTTCTTATTTATTACTAAGCTTTATTTCTCCTGCATGGTTGTTGTTGAATTAACATTTGATAACATCACCCATTTCTTCTACCTAGATTTTTTTCTTCCTCCATGTTGGCGTCCTTTTTTCTCAGTTTCTCTAAATATTTTTTTTTTCACCAGTCACCTGGACTGTAGGTTACCTCTTCTAATTTACCAAAAGAAAAAAAAATTAAATTAAACAAAAAAGATATTTCAGTAACCAATAGTTCAACCAGTTTTCCTGCATGTCTTATTTTGAAGATTCAAAATGTGATAACTGCACAAATTCCACAGATGCTTCACTTGCGGGTAAGTGTTTAGTGAAATCTCACCCACATAACCATGGTAACCAGTAACACTTAGTGATATGTTGCATGAGTGACTACCAAGAACTTATTTAACCAAAGACAATCGAAAATAAACAAATCTTTTTTTTCAAGTGTGTATAGCAGCATAAACTTCACAATTTGCCATAACCAGAAACATGCTTTATAAAATCCCAGAGTAATAAATAAATATGTACAGAGATATGTATCTTGCATGAGGGAAGGCTTATATCTGGAGAAAAACGCTCTACAATTGGTCTTATTTATTTATTTGTTTTCTGGCAAGAACAGTTGCTTCTATTTGAAATTGTTCATGAATCATGTAAAAAGGGCTATGGACTTTTTCTGAATTGAGTATATCCTACAATTGTTGTTGGAAGAAATTGAAGCAAAAGAAAATTGAAAAGATGAAAACACAAACCCAGTTTGATTTATTTTAGATAATTCAATAATTTATAAAATATTTTGGTGATGGTAGACTTGCATGATGCATTTATAAGTAGCCATTTTGACTGATTTTTTTTTTTTTTTGTTTCTTTCTCTTTTTTTGGTTTTTACTAAAAAGTAGACAGTTTGTTCAGATTCAGTGTGCTATTTTCAAAATTAACACTGTTTATATTTAATTTCCTGCAATTTTTTTAAAAATGTAAAATCATTGGATAATCAAAAAATAACAAGTTCTCTGCAGAAATAAATCTCTATGTATGGTGCAAGGCTGCCATATACCAGTATATCAGTATAAAATTAACAATTATTTAAAGTCGGTGATGTTCTTCCAGAACCTGTCCCCGAGTCGGCCAAGGTCATCCAGAAGCTGGCCCCTCCCCGGAACAACATGACCCTGGTCATCATCATCACCACCGTCTGTGTGTCTGTCCTGCTGATCGTCCTCGTCATCTTCGGGGTGTGCTGGAGGAGGTGGAGACTGAGGGGTCAAAAGTTCACCAACGTCAAGCGGGTCATCGTCATGAGACCGGTAAGAAACCGTGGCAACTCAAAATATCTTATATAAAGAATTATAGGTCATATATTATACAGAGAAAAAAATTATATATTATGCTCTATAATACTGAACCAAAAAATTCTTATGGTTTTTTTTTGTTTCTTTTTGAACAATTTAAAGAAATATATCAATGGTGTAATAATAACCCATATTACAAGCATAAATTAGATCTTAAACATTCACATACCGGTAGTAATATTGCAGAATTTTTTAAAAATTTTTTTTATTTAAATGCACATATACAAAGTTTCAAGTTTTTTAAAAGCTTCAAGAATAAGCAAAAGGTAAAATCTAAATGTTTTTCTCCCCAGAATGAGATTTACTACCCCAACAAGATAGGCCAGGAGGGCCAGGCGTTGATTGTCCCACAGGTCCGTATCGAGCAGACCAGTCAGCGACGACGTCTGTCGTCAGATCTTACCGTCATGTCAGAGTACGACCTACCTCTGGACAAAACCTGGGAATTCTCTCGCGAAAGGTGAGGTTCAGTTTCAGTCTTGACTTGTTTTTTGTTTTTAAATACATGATCTTTTTGTTCCCTTGTGATTTGAGAATTGAATTTGATGCTGAATAACATATCTTTCAGGCTAATCATGGGCAAGACTTTGGGTGAAGGAGCATTTGGGGTCGTAATCAAAGGTGATGCACATTGTATAAACGGCAAAAACGGAGTTACGACTGTGGCCGTAAAAATGTTAAAAGGTAAGAAATCATTGAATAGATCAAATAGAAGTGAAAATAAATTCATAACATTGGAATTTTTTACAATGATTTTTTGGTTGTGCATTTGTAAGCTGGTTTCTAATTTTGAATTTTACTGATTTGTTCTCAATAGAGGATGCCACAGATCGAGAGTTGACAGATTTGATTCAGGAGATGGAAGTGATGAAGCTTATTGGAAGTCACAAAAACATCATCAATCTGTTAGGCTGCTGTACTCAGAATGGTGTGTATAATTAACTGTTTTTCAGTTTTAATGGAAAATACTGCACATCACTTGTCATGGTTTTGAAGGAATTCTTTCACGATCTGAAATAATTTGAGAGTCCATCAAAAGGACTTGTTGCTGTAGGTGTACCCACGAGAGAGGAATCTCAGGATAAGGTCAATTTACTCAAAATGAAGATTTTTTGTGTTTTAGGATAGGCTTGAATAGTAAGATTGTTTATTCTTTTCTTTAGGTCCATTGTATGTGATTGTGGAGTATGCTCCCAACGGAAATCTGCGTGATTTCCTACGCAGCAGGAGACCCCCCAACAGTGGCTACGAGAAACCTGTGGGTGAAGACAACACAGCAAAAGAGACTCTTTCTGAGAAAGACTTGATTTCATTTTCATATCAGATAGCAAGGGGAATGGACTACTTATCGTCGCGCCAGTGCATACATAGAGATTTAGCTGCCAGAAATGTGCTTGTTGCCGAGGACTATGTGCTAAAAATAGCAGATTTCGGCTTAACAAGAAATGTGACAAACATTGATTACTACAGGAAAACGGGAGATGTAAGAAGAAATTTACGTTAATTTATTCACACTGACAATCAAATATCGCAAATACTGAGAGTAATTGTGTTACACATCCTAAATTCAATTACCCTCAAGTATGCATTTCCTGGAACATGCAAAATGGTTAGGGAAAGCATCTTTCAAGTGGCCAAGAATTGAAGGCAGCTTTCATCTTTAACCAATGCCTATTCTTACCCACATTGTACTAATGTCAATCTGGATTGCAATAATTATTTACATGTGGCATCAAGTACTTTTGTTTACACAGTCTGTTATGTTCTCATGCAATTGGAATGTTTTTCCCCTTCTGTTCTAGAAGTCAATGTTTTATGGGTTTAAGATGAAGTACTTTTAAATGAAACATTTTGTTTTTTTGACAGGGTCGTCTTCCAGTGAAATGGATGGCTCCGGAAGCTTTGTTTGATAGAAAATATACCTCAAAAAGTGATGTGTAAGTTAACAAACTGCCACTTGAGTATTTTCCTGTTTGAGAATATTGAGAATTGCTTGTTTTGTAATATTGAGCTTTCATTGCATCAAAGAATACATCCTTTAAGCTATTTGGAGACAAAGTATTCAGCATATTTTGGTATTTTTGACAGATGGTCATACGGAGTGCTTCTGTGGGAAATCTTCACGCTGGGTGGCAATCCCTACCCCTCGGTCCCCGTGGAGCGACTATTTGAGTTACTGAGGAGTGGTCACCGCATGGAGCGGCCCCCATACGCCTCTAAGGAGGTCTACAACCTGATGTGTAACTGCTGGGCGGACATGCCGGTCCGACGTCCTACATTCCTCTCCTTGGTCAAAGACCTAGACAAGATGTTGACATGTCGGGGGGAGGTGAGTGAGGACAGAATGAAGAACGCCGGAAAGTGCTTGGCTCGGATTATACATGTATGTAGTGTGTTCCCTTAACCTACCTGCATGCTCCTATATTCTTTTTTTTTTTTTTTATCTTAAAATTCCCCTCCTTTCCCCTATCCAAATATCCTATTATACATACATGTAGCATCAAAGGGCCAAGTAAATTTTCAAATTTGAGTTTTTCACTTTTAGTTGTAATTCGTATATAAGAGTGCTTAATTTTGAACTTGTGTGTTATTTGATTGAAACACAATGCAAAAATCTGCTCTTTTCTCAGGAGTATCTTGATTTGGAGCCAGGAGTGACGTCTCCCCTAGAAACGCACATCAGTACGTCAGATAGCCAGTATTCCTCGATGTCTCGAAGCTGTAGCAGTGTGTCCGATGAAGTGATCAGCCACACGAACATTAGCAGCAGTAGTGACTCAGACAAGGATGAAGTGTCATAGGGGAGAAACCTGTCTCAATTTTATAGGATCGGCAGCTTTATTTCACTGTTAACTTTACACAATGCTGAAGACATCACGGAAGTTGATGTCGGTAGTTCTGGTGACCAGTGTGGGTCGCCTAGTGAATGCCACAACAGACAGCCTTAGTGACTTTGAAATTTTATTGTTGCAATCAGAGAATATCTATGCAAACTGAAACTAAGCAAAGCATCAGTGCATGTTTATATAGACCTCTAAACTGAAGATGGAGGCACACAGTAATAATGAATGTTGTGATGTGTTCTGTCAACATAGGGCATACTATTGCTTTTAATTTACACTCGGTTTGTATTGTGACATCATAATCATCTGATAGTCCCATAATGCATCATTGTGCAGAATGTCAGACAGTCCTTGGTTTTAAGTGTTCTGTTAACTGTGTTCTTGGGTATATACAGAGGCCAGTGTTCAAATAACACATGTGTTCACTTTTACAAAGATCTGAGGATCTTATTGTGACAACGTACGCACAGCATAATCACACAACGTAACCAAGGAAACGCGAGCCTGGAAAGTTACCTCTCAATCAGTATTCTGAACATTCTTCAATGATCAAACAACTCGTACAAGTGCTTTATATACTACTTACCAAAATTTTATGTGAACAAACGTTCTGATGATTTTGTAAACTGATGTAAGTCTACATGAAGAATTCCACATTCATTGTATATAACAAAGTAACGGTTTATTTTGAATGTATTAAATGACAGAAGTAGAAATAGGTACAACGAAAAATTGTCAATTTATTTGTTGAAATGCATTGTAAAGAAATCCATCCATAATTTTGATCTGTTACATTTTTCTATTGTAATTAGTTGTGTTGTCTTATGATGGTAAGTTTGAAGTCATTAATGGTGTTAGAAACACATTTAAAAGACTCGCTAAAGTAAAACATTCGGCATTTTATATTGATAGTTTAAGTATTGATGTTGAGCATTTGGAGTAATATTGGGAAGAAAAAAGGGTCAAATCAGTATGAATAAAACAATCTGAAAATGAATAATTGTAAAACAAAATTGAATTTGAAAAACAGAATTGAAATTTATGCAAATATTGTGTAGCAGTTCTTAATGATCTTGTTTTATTTTCTGTGGACGTGGAAGAGAAGTCTATTGTTTGTTGATTATTTGAATTATTGTTATGGTTTAATTTTTGTCATGTTTGTGTGTGTGTGTGTGTTCGATGCATATATATGCCTTTTTAAATCATTGTCTATTTGTAATTAAAATTTTTTTTTAACGTGCCTGAAACAGACAGAATGAATCGACAAAATAATATTTTTTTTTACAACAAGATTTCCTGATTGGCATTGTTTTATATTTCTCAAATGGTTTCCTCATGTTATTGACAATGGAAAACTTGTCTCTCCACATGTGAACAGTATTTTTGAACCAAATCTTTGTTCAATACTTTTATTATTATTATGATTAAATTCTGCCTTACTTGGCTTTTTGTTTTATACAAGTGAGGGTTGACAGTCTTTTTTTTTTTATTTTATTCACTGCCAAGAAACTGAGCAATTTTTATTTTTAACCCCAGCATATTATTAACCAAATTTGTGTTCATTTTACAACAGATATTTTAGTATGTAAGCTTGTTTTTTTTGTAATTTTACGTAAGGAACAGTATATTATATTATATTGTATTTGGCTGGTTCAGAAAGGACCCGCAAAATTGTCCTCTCTTCAATGTATTAGGTTGTATGTTTGCAGAAGCAAACTTGTTTTTTTTTTTTTTAAATTTGCAATGGTTGTTGAACAGTATACATGCTCCTATGTTTATTAAATGTGATGTTATACTTCATTTGTACAAGTAAATAGGTTGTGTCATCTTTTTTTTTTCTTTCTCTACAGGCAATTTTTATTCTTAAAAATTATTTACTGAAAGGAATTACTGGCCCAAAAAAGTAAGAAAGAAAACATTTAGTAAAGAAACAATTTTTACCTGTTGTAAATTTCTATAAAATCCTGACCCTAATCTACTCCCTTAAGGGGGATTCATGTACCTACATGATTCATTTCATATTTGCAATATTTTTTTTTCAAGATGTAAGTTTTACAGTTCCAATGTATTAATTTTGTGTATGTATAGTAATTTTTTTCGGGTCTTTGTTTCTTTTGATTTGTCATGCTGTTGATCAAGATGCCATGAAGAAAGAATTGTTAAAAATGTTGAACAGAAAGGTATAATGTTTATATTTGTAATGATTTGTTGAAACTTTTCTTGAGTATACAAATGTGACCTATAAAGAAATAGGAGAATAAAGTTACCTTACAGCTTCTATTGTTTGTTTTTCTGTTAATTTTGGTTTTCCACTTGAGATGGTTTGGAATGTCAGGAATGTTCATGATGGCTTTAATGTTCAGATTCTTGACACTAGCCATGTGATAAAATGTAATTGATATACCTCTAGTTGCTAGGTGCTCTAAGGAATTTTAACATTTTGGGAAGCAGCTTCTGGGGACTTGTGATTGTGAAGGGGGTGAAATCGGAACAAGTTTAGCAATTATTCAAAGTCTGATCTGATTATAGTAAAATGTTGATAAGAAAATTTTAATGCAGGACTTTGGCTCAGTATTTGGAAATACTTGAGAAACATAAAACTTGAAGATTGCATTGGATGGATTCACCACGAATATTTTCAATACATTGATTGCATACATGTATATACTATATCCCTTACACAATGGATTAACAATTCAAAATGGTGATTGTAAACTACACTGTATATCCCATATTGCGATATGTATGATGGGTTAATATTCGTAAGGACAGCCTGAATCCCATGTATTGGATACATTTATGAGTAGTTTTATTCACATCATAGCCAATTTACTGGGGAATGGCTCACTATCCTGTAAATTCGTTGAAGACGCATACTAGTAGATATCAAATTTTAAGGAAATAAAAAGAAGCAATTCAAAGTATTGCAGTCCCTCTTTCGGTGTCTTTGTGGGTTAGATGACAGATGTCATTATTTATGGAATATTGTGTCAAATATGAACACCCTATCATTTGTCATTCAAAAGTTATCACCAAAGTTGATATTTTTTTTAAATAAGGTAAAACATGAATGTCAAGGTCAAGGGTTAAAAAAATCATAACATGCTCGGAAATATCTTGTCACAGGTAATACACATGTCAAAAATGAAAGCCTTACTGCAATATCTCCTCTATCAAAGGTTATAAGTAAAAAATAACATTTTTAAAAGTAGGTCAAATGTAAAGGTCAAGGTCACAGGATCAAAAATCATAGAAAGGTCTTGTTGCAGTAAATATACATGTGAAAGGTGAAAGCCCTAAATCTTCTCATTCAAAAGTTATGATAAAGGTCAACGTTTTTGAAAAGTAGGTCAAACTTCAAGGTTACGTGGTTAAAAATCATAGTGTATATAGAAAGGTCTTGTCTCAGGTAACACAAATGTTTAGTATGAAATACATGGAGATAATGAACAGTATTCAAGCTCTGAAGTCCATTAAAGAATTAAAAAAAACAGGAGCAGAGCAAACATGGACCTCTGAAACATCAGACGTGGGATCAGGTGCCATAAGGAGTAAGCATCCTCTGCCGACCTTGGAGTTTGACCCATTTTTACACCAAACAATCCAAACTTTTACTTTGGCCATAACTTTTGAATGGTAGATACTAGGACTTTCATACTTCATATACATGTGTATGTATTTCTTGTGGCAAGATATTTTATTGGATACCAACAATTTTGACCTTTTGACCTTGGAAATTTCCATACTTCAGGAGAAACATTAACCTTGGCCATAACATTTTAACATTAAGAGCTAGGGCTTTCATCCTTCACAAATGTAATCTTTGTGAGAAAACCTTTCATTGGCTACCAAGAACTTTGACCTTTAACCTTGACCTTGGAGTTTGACCTACTTTTAAAGAAAACAAGCTTGACCAATAACTTTTGGGTCAGGGCTAAGGCTTTAATGCTTCACATATATAATCATTATGACAAGACCTTTCATTTGATATCAAGAACTTTGACCCTTTGACCTTGGAGTTTGACCCATATTTAACACAAAATATTCAAACTTTTACTTTGGCATAACTTTTAAACTGTAGAAACTAGGAATTTCATTTTCAAATATCAATTCTTCGTGGCAAGACCTTTCATTGGATACCAACAACTTTGACCTGTTGACCTTGACATTGGAGATTTCTGTACTTACAAAAACTTTGACCTTGGTCATAACTTTTGAACAGTAAGTGATAGGGCTTTCATACAAAATAATGTATTTAATGCCATCCGGTAAATTCAAAATTTACAACTTGATAGTCCTATCTCTTCTCATTCAAAAGATATGTCCAAGGTTAAAGTTTTTGTGACAGATGTACAGACTTACAGACTGACAGACGAATGAGATTTCAAGTCCCCTCGTTTTCGCGAAAGCGGGGGACAATTTTAAAAAAAATGTAAAATGATTTACCAAATGATTCATCCACCCACATTTCATAGCATCTTAATTTTAACAAATGAAAACAGAATGATATCAGAAGGACATTTCCTTTTCCTATATCACATAACCTCTGTATTAATTACATGATAAAAATATTGTTATGGATCAATGAAATTTCCAATTTTTTAGTGTACCCAGATACAAATCAAATGCACCCTCATTCTACATGTACCTCGAAGGGGGGGGGGGCTCTAGAGTCAGTTTAAGGGGCCATCGGAGCGGGTATAGATTCTATTCTGCCAGTACAATTCTATTATGGTACATACAGTATTACTGACTAAAATGTTAAGTATTGATATATTATTTATTATTTACCTTTCTAGGTTTCAAAATTTGTCAGTTTTAAGACTTAAGTCCTTAGCAATGCTACACTTGACCATTGGACATGATACCTGTCTGCGTTTTTGTTATAAAGATTGAAATGGATGCTGTTAGACTGACGATCTTGATTTTTGAGGAGTGTCAGTGCGCAAAGAGAAATAACTCTTATCATTTAAGAGAAAGTAAAATCTTCTCTACTTCTCTCATTCCATTTTCTGGACAAGCAACTTATTGCTCATTTTCTTGTTTGTCCGACTTTTTTCCCCAAACCATTGTCTGTTGAAAATTTAGAAGGTTAAGAAGGATGAGTATATAGTATTGGCATGCAACAGAAATTTACCGCGAAGAATGTTATATAAATGTTATTTATCTCCCTCATTAGTGGTCAGTATCATTTACAAATGGGTAAACTTACTTATAGAATTACATAAATATATAATTATGTCAACAAGTTGAGAGTGGCCATGATAGCGGGAGGTCAACATTACCGCTACATCGCCAAAAATTTCAACTCATTACCGCTACATTTTTTGGCCCAAAACAACTCATTACCGCTACATATCGAATCAGCCAGGTATGGTATACGGAATATGAGTTCCAATCACTGATTACTTTACAAGATAGCAGTATGTCGAGCAGATGGCATTCAAAGCTTTAGCGATAGTGTAAAATCATTGTGAAGACTGTGAGTGATCTATGAACAGTGCTTGATTTTAAAATTTTTGAAGTGTTTTATGAAATAAAATAGATTTTAAATTAAAGAAAATAAAAAAAAAACCCCACCCTGCTCAAAGTCCTACTTTTACCTGCCACTCAGGACTTATACTTGTATATGTTGTATTTCAAATCAATCTGTCCAAGCAAAAGAAGCTGGCTAGCAAAAAGGCAATGTAGCGGTAATGTGTACTTTTATATTTAGCGGTAATGTAACGTTATTTGTAGCGGTAATGAATGAAGGCAAGGTTAGAGTTTTTACAGATGTTAACTCATTCTACAAATTCAAAAGTCAAGGTCAGGATGTCAAAAATTATGGTAACCCCACCCCCAAAAAAGGTCTTGTCACAAGGTGCGCACATATGATATACATGTATGTATATGAAAACCGTAGTACCAACCGTCATGGCGAAGATTAAAGTTTTATAAAAGTAGGTCAAACACAAAGATCAAGAGGTCAAAAGTGTTGGTAATATGAGAAAGGTCTGGTCACTAAGAATACACTGAAATATAAAAGACTTAGTACCAATTTTTCATATATAATTATAATCAAGGTTAAAGTTTAGTAACATTTCGAAAAGATAGGTCATGGTGAAATAAATTCATATTCTGCATTCATAGATAGGTCTTGTTGTAAGAATTATATATATACACAGCTGCATGTGACGTATGAAAGCCCTAAAACCAACCATCCAGAAGTCAAAGGCTTATGTTTTACGGACAAACAGATTAACACTAAGAAACAGACAACTAGACAGACGAACAGACCAAAAACTACTAGATTCCCGATATCGAAGCTTTGGGGGACCTAAAAAATCTTCGGAACAAGAAAAAAGTATTGATGAAATTGTGTACACAATCATCTACCAATAATTCAATTCATTTGTTTTATGTGACTAAACAAAAATTACATTTGTAAATTTATTGTAAATATCTTAATAAGAAACCAGATATTTTTTTGTTTTTTACGTAATTAAAAACTTTCAACGAAGATTTACTTTTTGTGAAGAACAATTATAATTCATTTTTTAATAAAAAAAAAAAGTCAGAAAAGAGGGGGGGGGGGATCCTGAAGATATTTTAAATGTATCGCTTGTGTTCAATCCCCATAGAAAAAAAGCATAAATGCACGGTAAATCCAGTAGAAAAAAAACAAAAAATTAAAAAGTTTAACCAAATACTGTAAACCAATTTTTATTCGCGTGCGAGAAAAGAGCTCTGCCATCGCGGACCGATAAGACGCGAAATAAAGTTGTCCCGAATAAAAGTTGGTTTACAGTACTCCATGTCGGCTTGGGAACATTGCGGGGTCATCAGTTCCAGAGCCACATGCTTGTTTGTAAACGAATTTAAAATCCCCTGGATTAAAAGATATGTTTTTAAAAATTAAAAAATAAACTTCATTAAGACAACGAAGTTGTCACCTTAAATGACCGCACATGAATGGACTATATAAAGTGAACCCAATCACATGGACAATAACTCAAAGATACCCAGGGGATTCCAGATATTTTGGAATAGGGGAATATATGGAAGCCTTTGTGCAATATAAGCTTTACATTTAAGAAATTAAAGAAAATAAAAAGAAAATGAAAGAAAATAAATAACCATTTCAAATCACAAATTACGTTGGCTTTCCATAGGGGACGTCATCCTTCTTTCCCCAACCCCCTAACTCCCGATCCTCACCGACTCCTGCCAATTAAATTTTCCTCCAAGATTGTTTTCTCTACATTATTTCATTTCTTCAGAACATGAGATAGTA